TTTTAATTTTCCCAGGAAACTGACTTGACTAGAATTAAGTGCTAGTGGAATGCTAATTAAATGCTTCATGAGAAGTATATTATTTTCAATACTTGAAGTAACATGAGACAATATTTCCCTTCAATCGTAAATTTTCTGCATATCTTGTATAGTATTTTTCATTCCTCGTTGAAATTTCAGTTGAAACTTCGTTATCCACAGCATACTATGAGGATTAAATTATAAATTAATGGAGAATGCCAGATATATGAATGTTTTGTAAATTTTTGTGCCAACTCTTGAATTTAAAAATGTTCGTTCATTTTCCAATTTTCCAAGGAGACGGACTTGACTAGGATTAAGTGCTAATTGAATGCTAATTAAATTTCCATCACTTGGAGCGGCCTGGGACAAGATTTCCCTTCAGTCGTAGATGTTCCGATCTTCTAGTAGAGTATTTTCCATTCCCAGCTGGAATTTTCATTGAAACTTTGCTATTGAAGGCATTCTGTAATCATTTTGAATTAGGAATCAATCTAAAATAACGGATATATTTTTGGAAAGGGCATGGTCTGCTAAAATGAATTTCAAAATTTTCGTTAATTTTAAAATTGTCCACGGAAACTGATATTTTAATGAGTAACAAATTGTATCAAAAAGTGTAAATATTGAGCCGTATTAGGTTGACATTACTTGAATTACTAAAAAAATTGGGGGAAATGGAATTAAAGAATCTGAGTCAGCAGAGGGAGATATTACAAAAACAAAAATGAAACAGTCAAAAAATACTAAATGAATTCATACAGAGTGATTCACAAGTCGTGACAAAAAATGGACCGCATTTTAAGGGGGGTAACATTTTTTCCTAATTTACTCTCGTCTTTTTTCTTAGAGAGTGCACGGTTTTCCTAAAAAAGAAAAATTAAAATTTTAAAACTTGACGTTTCTTGGGAGATAGTTTGTTGAAGTTATGTGTTATACGGTTACTATCGTTACTACTACCATTTTTTGTTTTTGTAAAAGTCAAGTCAAAGGTTCCTTTTTCCCATTTTTGGGTATTGTGAAATGAAATTTAGTAATGATGAGTACACTGATATTTTGTGTACGGGTCCTATAATGGGAATACTTTAGCGGTTTCTCGGGAGTATCAACGTAGATTTTCTAACAGACGCCAACCTACTCCAAAGGTTTTTACGCGTTCATTCCCAAGACTTCGGCAATATGGAATTTCCAAACTTCCCAGAGTTAGAGGCCATGGTGTCCGGCATACTGTTCAAGAGGAACTGGAAGTGATTAATTTGGCGTTGGATGATCTTAGTGCAAATACTATGCGGATTGGAGCCCAGTTACCACGTTCCCAAGGTTTTGTGTGGAGAATTTTAAATCTGGAAGTTTTACATCCTTACCATAGCAAAATGTAACAATGTCTGCAATACGGCGACTAAGTGCAACGGCGAAATTTTTGTGAGTGGTTTTACTGCAAACGCATATTCAATGATTTAATGATTTGGTTTTGTAGCCAGATGAATCGCTTTTTACGATGAGTGGAACCATTAATTCTCATAATGAACATATTTGGTCGTTAGAAAATCCACTCGTTTTAACACAGATTTTCTAGAAATGTCTGGTGCGGCACAGCGTTTAAATGCAAACTCATACTTAGCTTTTCTAGAGAATTACATAGAAGATGTGTTAAATGATGTTAAATTGGCAACGAGAGTACAAATGTGGTATCAGCACGACGGTGCCCCACTGTATGGTAATCGTCACATAACGGCATGGTTAAAAAATCATGTTAGACAACGATAGATTGGCAGAAACGGACCCGTACAGTGGCCTGCGAGGTCTCCTTATTTGAACCCCCTGGATTTCTTTTGTGGGGCGTTATTAAACAACTAGTGTATGCTGAACAAATTAATACTGTTGATCAGTTACAATAAAGAATAGATAATGCATTTCATCAAGTTCAAGCCACAACAAATTTTGTGGAAATACGTTTTTCTTTATTAAAAAGATGCCGAACTTGTATCCGTCAGAATGGTGGTCTTTTTAAACATTTATTGAAATAAAGCTTTGATTATCTAATTTGTTTTATTTTTTATTTTCACGAAAAGATTGCACTGTAGGCAAAAAAACACAAGAGTAATTATTTGTAGCAAATTAAAGCTAAAATTTTAAATATTGCACGTCTCGAAAAAAAAACAGTGAAGTACTATTTTTATTTGGAAAAATAATGCCACTAATCCCCTGGATCTCCGCCACTGGTGAACTCTAATTTTAAGTGAAGACTTCTGAATGTGGGCAATAATTAGATGAATCCACATACAAAATGTTAGTTTATTCCAGTTGACGGTTTTGACGATATTAAATATGCTTTTTATTTTCAAACTTCAACATCCGTCTTTTTAATGAAGCCCTAGAGGAAAAAATGATAGAAGACCCCCCTTAAAATGCGGTCCTGTGTATGATGTTTCATTTTTGGTCATGACCTGTGAATCACCCTGTATAAATAAACTGGATAATCGCTTTCATTAGTAAATACAACTTTTTGATCAGCAGGGTTTCAAAGGAGAACCTACACAAGAAAATGGAATATGTAGGATTAAAGGAAGCCTTGTCCTATGTCGCTCCAAGTAATAAACAAAATACGCATTTAATGCTTTATATGCAATTTACAAAAAAAAATACTTTAAAGTAAAATAAAATCTGACAACGCCGCAATGTCAGACGCAAATTACGACGGAACACAGTGTAAATAAAGATGGAGATCGTTATTATTGGCTCTTAGGTATTATTTCATTATTTGATAATGTACTCGTAAAATGCAAAAAATTAAAAAAACGGACTTTCACTGTATGAAAGTTTCCTGATCGTATTAAAAAAATCCACTTATAAATAGGGAACACAATTTTGATACATACATTGTTTCTCTTTTTAAAACCCACACTGCACTTTTTTTGTATATAAAGAAGGTGTTCAAAATGTCGTCCTCCACTTTCCACACAAGCTTCATTACGACGAACCCAGTTTCTTCTTACTCTAGGTCCTCGAAGTTGTCCATTTATTATTTCAGCCGCATTAAATTTTTTTTCGCGAAGTTGTGCTTCAGTTGTTATTGGACCAGCCCCATAAACCATACCTTTAAGTTCTCCCCAATACCAGAAATCCATCGGATTGAGGTCAGGAGATCCTCTAAAAATGTGTGGTGGTGCCCCGTCATGAAGAAACCACAAATTCTGTCTCCGTTGTAATGGCCATGTTGTCTAAAGTCTGTTCCAAAAGTTCTGTAGGTTATTGGCTAGGAAGCTAAGCTATCCTTCTCCTGACAACTTTGGGGGTAACTCGAAAGGGTCAATTACCTGATCGTCAAGAATACCCGCCCAAATATTTATTTTAAACGTTGTTGGAAATCACGAATGGTATGAGGATTTTCTTGAGCCGACGTGTGAGTATTATGGAAATTTAATATCTCGTCTCGAGTAAAAGTACATTCGTCCGTCGCTAGAATGTTTTTAAAAAAATCCGGATTTTCAATGTTTTTGTGCAAAAACCACTGACAGAATATTAGTCTGCGAGGATACTCTTCTGGTAACAAGGCCTGCACTCGTTGTACATGGTAGGGATAAAGCAAATTTCCCGAAGGATTCTATGGACTATGGTATGCGATAGTCCTACGCGGCGGCCTAATTCCCGAGTGCTGATATCTGCATTGATTTCCACGATATTTAAAATTTGTTCCTCCTGCTCTACAGTAACCTGTCTTTCAAGAGTGCGAATATTAGTGGGCTGAACACTTCCTGTATCTCGAGGTTTTTGGTACACTTGTCCTTCTGTCTGGGTGTACCCGTTGGCGAAATCTGTCGCGATAAATTTGAGCTGCAAGATTTGATTTCTGACGAGCTTCACCGTAAACGATGACGCACACGAACAATAACTAACCACTGTTACCGTTTGCAATCGTTTGCCGGCTTGATAAGACTGATGAATGACCGACGCGCTGTTGTCATGTGTGTTTTAAATATTCAATTTAATGAAACTTACTCACTGACTACAAATTTTGGCTCAACTTAGAAAAACTTAATGCCATTTATTGTTAATTAGCCAATTTAAAATGTTTAAGATTAGATTATAAAAATTAGTAAGATTGTGGTGATTGTGGCACTTAAAGTTGTAAACTATAAAGCCATTTAGACAAAAATCTATTGACTTTTGGAGCATGGGACATATGAACTTTTGACTTGTTTTGACCCCCCCCCTACTACTCATTTCAATAATGACTGCCATAACGTTTACAAAAATAAGTATTAGTAGTGAAAAAAGCCCCTCATAATAGTCTGGTACCGCCTTAAGGTCGGATCAACGACGGCGCTGCAACGTCGGACCGACCAAGATTTAAACGACGATAGTCACACAAAACTTGGTCGACCCGATGTCACACTTCTGACCAACGAAGTTGCGTTAGTTACAAACCGTCATGCCTATATCGTCGCAGTTTTTAGTGAGATAAACGATACCTAAAACGACTTGTTGTTGTTCATCATTGGAGCGAGTCGCTTTAGGTTCGGACATTTATATCTATTTTTCCTTTTTTATAGATTAGGTATGAAATTTTGTACAGGAGACATGCATTGTATTTTATTTCTTTCGTCGGTATATACTTATTCGGTAGAAGGCGGTATATACTGTAAGATATTATTTTAACGTAGTCGGTTGTTACTAACACAAGAGTCATAAGCCTGGGCAAGTGTACTGATAAATGTTTACAAGATTACTGTTAAAACTGAAGTAACATGACAGAATCCAACGTAAAAAAGGGGTGTAGTAATGAACTGTCTGGTGTTCTCAGTAAACCAGACAAATATAATTTGGCCGAATATAAGATGTGAAAGCAGTGGAATAAAATACGAACGTAGCCTTCACCTACTTTATCCGACAATATCACTGGTATTAAATAGTCTAGCGACTTTAATAGAAATATGCATATGATTGGTCAAGCCTAAATCTGAAACGGCGACGCCAGTATGGCCGACTTATTTTTTTTACCATATCACTGCGATTTATCGTCATTACTAATATGGAATAAGTCGGAACGCTGACTTCGGATTTGGCGACGTCGCTACGACGTCGGCAGTAGCGACGTTCGCAGTGAGTACCAAAAACTATCAATTTCGACCTTACGTGTATTTCCATACCACTTTCATAGTCATAATCACGATATTATTTATTATTGCAGGTGTTGGATTGAGGAAGTATCGTTCAGCTCGTGGTTTTGAGTGTGCCAGTTGTGGTCATTTTGTTTTTATGCACAAGTAAGTATCATAGTTGTAATTATCATCCCTCCAATCAGGATTCACAGAAATATTCAGTGTGATTTTCAATCTTCTGGCTACAAAGTTTCACGTTTCTAAATGATAGATATACGATATAAAAGGAGTACCAAGAAAATACTCGATTAGGGCTTGCAGAACAAATCGTCGATAAGTAGAAACGTTGTGGAACACAACTATGTATGCACATATTTTACATCTAAAAAAATGCATTCCATAAATTCGGAGAAACGTGTGAGAAAAACAAAACAATTACGGCAGTGGAAAGGAAAAGCACGCCAGAGTTTAAAAAATTATCTTTAAATGAATCATTTGAAAGACAACCTTTTAAATTTCGTTATAAATTGTACGGATATTTCCAATTTTCGCATATGCTTCTTCAATTTTATGTAAAAAGTTTCAATTTCCACCATCTATTTGGATCAAATTTCTGCATGTTTGAATGTTTTTAAGCGACAGATAGTCTGTCACTTATGGCATATTTCTCGCTATAGCAACTAGAGTAGCTATAGCTTTTCATCTATAGAATTGCAAAAGAAGGTTCTTCAAATTTTCTAAAATTACCTTATTTAACGTGGCACATCGTTTCATTTTTAAATATCCCTTGCCCGTACCTAGTCACAAAATATTTTTTTTATTTTCAGTATTCCTTATCAACGTGCTAAGGGTGATCCTAACCATAATGCATCCGAACTCTGCAAATCCTGCACCAGTGGGGATGAAAAGAGCCGCAAGAGCTGCCCTTATACTGATTCCCCTTTTTGGTTTGCAGTTCATACTGCTTCCGATGATTCCTGAGCAGCACCATCCTCTATATCATTTCTACATTTGGCTGTGTGTCGTCCATTGTCCCATTCCAGGTAAGCCCATTAGTCTTTATCCATTTTATGATGTCTATGTCGCAAACCTACTATAGCTAAAGATCGAAATTATTCGCACTGACACATCGCTGGTAGCCAAAACCTCCGCGGTGTGCGGAGACATTCAATTGGCGGTTTAATGTGCGTGCAAAACTAGAAGAATGAAGAGTGACAGTTCAGTACTGATTCAGCTAATATTTATAACCCTTCTTCCAATTTTTCTAAAAACTGCCAACAAATTCAAAATAGCAACGGGTGGGAGCTCTACCCGGGGTAGGAGTGGAAGGCGTTACCCAGGGTATCCTCTCCCGCCACTGGAAATCAGTTGTTTAAATGCAGATTCAACGAAATTGTGACTGACGGAGTAGTGACCAGTTAGGTCCGCATATGACGTCCGTTGAAAACGACTCATTTAGATCGTCAGCGACGAACTAGAACTAACTAAATATCAAAATCTGCATAACAATATATACAATACATGCAGAGTCATAAAATATGGAATAAACCTAAAAAAACACGATATCTCCAATATAAACAGTATTTTATCACCACTATCATACAGCCGGTATATCAGAGGGTCATAAGTAGTTGTAACACTCGCTTGCTGGTATTTTTTCGTTACTATCAGTCAAATGTGCACCGATTTTGATGTTTTTGCTATTTATTGAATTTTGGAAAAAAATACGGTTAAAGAATGTGCTACAATTTTCCAGGATATAGGATTCTTATGGAAGTCCTCCACGAAGACGTAGATTCTTTTAAAATTACTATAGTTGCAAAACATTTTGATTCACTGGACAACAATTTTAGTTTTTTAATTGTATCTTGTGGGAAAAGTGCACTTCTTTGTTAATTTTGGGGCGCTGAATCCAAAAATGACAATGAAATAAAAAAATTAGTTGCGGTTTAGAAAAAAATCTTTTTATTTTTAAGGATTATTAAAAAAAGTAACAAGATTCATATACTTCTAAGAATCAGTATATGCGCTGTCTTTTTGCTGTTCTTTTATGGATCGTTTTCTGGAGCATCTCTACCAGAGTCCAACCAGTAGTCTGCAAGCATGGAAGGATTCCACTTTCCCTGGTACCTTTTTTTCCATTGTTGAATATAACCTGATGAAAAACGTTCGCCGTGCTCATCACTACGGCTACGCAATTGTCAGGAAAAAAGTCCAGGTGTGAGTGTAGGAAATGATTTAAGAGACAAATTACAGCCCATCTTTTGATACGATGACAGCATATTTTGGACAAGGGTTTTATAGTTGTCAGCTTTCTATTTCCCAAGAAATTAGTGACCACCAGACGGAAATCATTTCCAAGCAGTTTTTCACTACCTGTTTCAAACTGTGTATCTTTCAAAATATTTCAAATCTGTGGCCCAACAAAAATACCTTCTTTAACCTTTGCCTCATAATTAGTCCTTGGAAATTTCTGACGCAGGTATTGAAAAGCTGGACCCATCTCTTATCTAATGCCTTGACAAGTTTTTCATTAGGCCCAACTTGATATGCAGTGGTGGTAATAAAATTTTTTTCGAATCTACTAATGGCATATGCTGTACATTTTTTTGACCTGGCTCTAGGAATTGACGAACAGGCCAGTTTTGTCTGGTGTAATGAAGTGCCTTTGCCCCGACTGTCCCATTCACACAAAAAACAGCAAAACTTTGTGTAGCCTAGCTGCAGTCCAAGTAAAAGTGCAACAACTTTCAAATCGCCACAATATGCCATTGGTGCTCATCGTATTTTTATGCATGTCAATAGGTACTTCATATTGTCATATGATTCTTTCATATGAACTGCATACCCTACAGGAAGAGATGGTAAAATATTTCCAATATGCAATAACACTGCCTTTAAACTCAATGTTGAACTGTTTATAAACAATCTCCATTCTTCTAAGTCTTTGTGGCGTTACGAAAAACACATACCGAAAGATCGTCTTCTAACAAGTTCCACTGCTGCAGTCTTGATCCAAGTAACTCTGCCTTACATTTTGAAGTTCTAAATCTCTTACAAGATCATTTAATTCTGACTGTGTTATTTGTGCGGTTGGTGGCATAACGTGCTCGGTATAAAATCAGGATCTCTTGACGTTGATGGCATATCTTCTTCCTGACGAATCACTCGATCGCCATGATCTGATTCGTTTTCTGATTCGCAAGTGTAGGATTCTGGGGGTTTGGAATATTCGTCACTGTGAGGCACAGGTCTCGTCGCAGATGGTATGTTTGGGTAGTTAATAACTGATTTTTTTTTCTTGGACATACCTGTTGCTTGTCCAACACAAGGTACCATGCAAAAGTAACAATCATTAATATGATTTGTAGGCTCTCTCCAAACCATTGGGACAGCAAAGCGCACAGACCGTTTTTTGCCATTTAACCAGCTCCTCAGACTTGAAGCACATGTATTACAGCAGATGTGGGGTGCCTACTGTTTGTCTTGATCACCTAGTTTACAACCGAAATAAAGCTGATATGCCTTTGTTATTAGTGGAGTAATAGACCATCTCTGAGACGCAAAAGTCACATCACCACACACGTAACAAAACTGATCTGGATTGTTTACACACTTTCGAGACATCTTGCGTGAACGCTGTCAGTCAACTGAGGAAAAAATGGCTAATATAAAACAATATAATGTACACGTATGTATAACGTAACACAATCATGCCGATTACATCATCTTTCCTTGCCGAATATAAAAATGTAGCACGTGCATTCTTGTGAATTACAGTATATTAACACTGTCACAGCAGGAACACATATAATTACCGTATCTCTAAAACCTGAACTAATATTGAAAAAATAAGTTTCATTCCGGTTTTAGCACATTAAAAATAGTAATATTTTGTTGATTTTATTAGGATATTTTTTGGCTGTTGATCAGTGATTATCCACATATTTCGTGCATGATGAGGGACCAAATAAATTTATCTGACCAGATCCAGCTTTTAATGTAAAGCTTCCCTATTACAAGTTTTAATTTAACTGACCTGTTTGTATGTTATGTATGTATGTATGAGTGTGTGTGAGAAAATCTTGGATCTGAATTTTGAACCAGTTAGCCTCAACGAATTGATCTGAATTTTTGTACACACGATTTCTTTACTTTCCCGACAATTGAAAACAGACTGCATGGTCAAAGGTTCCAGTCACCAGAAGAAGCAGTTGACGCATTCAAAAATGCCGTTTTGGATCTGCCATCAAACGAGTGGAATAAGTGCTTCGAAAATTGGTTCGAGTGCATGCAGATATGTATTAATCTTCGTGGAGAATACTTCGAAAAACAATAAATCATTTAACACTACCTACCGTGTTTTTTTATTTCCATATGCAAAACTTAAAAGACAGCCCTCGTAACACAAGAAGTATTATTATTATTTATATTAGTCCTATTAATAAAATATATGAAAGTTAGTTAGAAAATGCCAAACTAGTTATTTGACATCGTGAATACTAAAAAGTAAGAACTAAAGAAGAGAATGCATGTTTGAAAAGTAACTTTTATTTAGCAGATAATGAAATAAAATTTTAAAAGTAGTTGTAAAAGTTTTTTCCTATTGAAAATATTTAAACGGTAATCATCCCAAGGTTTCATATAGAGCGTGTTCCTTGTTCTATGTATTTGTATGTAAGTATTTAATGTCAACGCACTTCTCGGCCACCCTATCTGAACTCAACTACAGGACGCACAATGTTGCTGAGATATTCATATCTATCGTCGCAGAAATCTGGGAGGAATACGACATTAGGACTCATTTTTTTTCTTGAATAATATTCCATAATTCATCGTGGCCATAAGAGTATTCCCAAGCAGTTTCGTTTGGACGGGACACGACTTGAAAATAGAAACGATATGAAAGGAAAATCTACATCTTGCATGCGGAGGCAGCCGAATCTGCATTGAAAATTGAGCTGAATTTATGACCACAAAAATGTTTTTATCCTATAGAAATAACTTAATCGTTCACCAAGAGAGAATAGGGTTTTAGACCTTACAAAAAAGTAGAACACTTTTTAGATAATTTTACCAAAATTTATATAATAAATACATAGTGATTAAGTGTCCACAATAGCAATTCATTGTGGGCTTGTCGGAGTGAAATAAGAGCTTAAACCCAAAGAGGTGCACTGGCTCTAAACGGCGATAGTACGTCTATTTGTATGGGTCCTTGGTTTTGTGGCCTGGCATTGGAACCGAGACAAATAAAGCCTAATTCAATAAAATGTTGCGTTTTGGCTTGTATCAGTATTACAAGCGCAGTGCGGACAACACCATAAAGTTCAGTGGAAGCTCTGCTGGATCTCCCACCGTTGGATCTAGTGATCCGCGGAGAGGCGGGAGTGATCACACATCGGCCGTGGAGTCAGATCAGCTGGACCTTCATGAATCCTGTCAAAGGTCACACGGCCATCTTAGTCGAACTGTAAAGGATCCCGTCTTTCTGAGCAGGGGTTTTAATCGTCGCCTTCCACACATTTTAGAGATTTTACAGTAGAACGAAAATGGGTGTAATGTTTCTTGGTAATACCGAAAAACTATTTGAGGTGACTTTTTCATTTTAATGCAACGATTGGTATGTTTTTCAAGTAAATCAATTTTGTGTGGAAGTGGTTAAAAAAGTTTTGAATTTTCCAGATTTTTGAAAAAGTTGAACGGCAGTTTGTGTGACTTTTTTCTTTCGACTTCCTGCAGATAGGACAGTGGGTAATGAAAAACTTGGAGTTAATTAGATGATATATTTTTTGAACGGTATGAGAATTAACCAGCAAACTCAAAATTATAATACACAGTAACTAAAACAAAAAAAATGTTTTTCAAATACAAACAAATGTTCATTTTTTTAAACAGTAAAAGGGTAAACTAGAAAACTTAAAAGTATAATACACGGTAACTAAAGCAACAAAATGTAGTTTTTCAAATGCAAACTAATTTTCATGTGGTAGATTGCAGTAAATGTTTCGGTAAGTTTTATAGCAGTATTCCCTTTTAGAGCGAAG